TTGGTTTCTTTGTTGCATAATATATATATATATATATATATATGCAATCTTATGGAAGGATAAAGTGGGCTAGTCACGTAGCTTTGTGTGATGTTGATAATTGTGATGGAAGAAGATAAGGACAAAAGGCAAGAATGGCATTGGAATGGGTATTTGATTAAATTATTTTTTTACTTTTAGTTCTAGTGGATGGATAGTTCTTATATATATATATATATATATATATATATATATATATATATATATCTTGACTGATGGAAGGAAGCAAGGTGGCTGCCGAAATAAAATGGGAAAATAAAGAGATATTTATATATATTGTGGGCCCCACAGGGGCATTAGTATTATAAATGGCCATAAGCCATAATCAGAATCTCATTTCTCTCTCTTTCTGCTGCTGCTGCTACGTTTTCTTCCTCTTCTTCTTCTAGTTATTTTTTTCCTTTTTTTTGCTTTTCAAGCTTTAAAGCTTGATTTCTCTTCAAGCTTTGAGAAATTTTTGGTGCCGTTTGCGGCAAAACAGAGAGCACGGCGAGGTCTACTGTAACGCCCCGAACCCAGAGGTCCGGACAATTAGCCGGGTCCTTGCACGAACTCGAGGTCACCTAGGTCAAACTTATCGTTATCAGTGTTAAGCATCCTCCTTAGGATCATCACTACATTGTTCCCAAGTCCTCAAGAATCAAGAACAAAACACTAAGGAGGAAGGAACAAAGAAGACCAAGCAGGTACACTTCAGTCGACCGAAGTGGAGCTTCGGTCGGCCGAAGCATGCCCAATTCCACAACCCCTGAGCCAGAGTGAGATCCCGAGAGTGAAGGAATGGTTCGGTCGACCGAACCCTATTTCGGTCGACTGAAACAGGAGATCCCGAGACCAACAATTGGTTCGATCGACCGAACCCCATTTCGGTTGACCGAAACAGAAGGTCCTGAGAGCATGAACTCAGTTCGGTCGACCGATGAGCCATTTCGGTTAACCGAAATGACTCCTACGAGTCCTGATCCTGCAACTGACCTGCTACACTTGGAAAATAAGCTGAAATGGCTGAGGGAGCTTTAGAATGATTCATACTTGAACTAAACCATCAAAATGAGACATTCTACGACCATAAACACGAGTACTATCACATAATCATCTTACAACATCATTTGGTACAATTACATGACGTTAAACATAATGATTACATTAATTCCATTTACATCAAATAAAGGTTAAAGCTCATGCTTGAGTTACAAGGCCATGTATGTCAACTTAGTTACAATTTCCAAAACAACAAATATATATTGAATGGCCTAAGTACAAAATAGCAAAATGAAGGCTTCCAATACTCCGTCAGTTTTATGGTGGATTATCATATGCCAACTCTTTGCCATGATCTGAAAAATGTCAATATGTGGGGTGAGCAATTTGCTCAGCAGGTGGCACTTAAGACACGCCTCTTGTGTCCCCTTGAATCCATATAAAGAATAGAACTATGGGAATGGGGATCATACCATGTCGGGATATAGCAACATACTAATCAATCTCAAGTATAAACAATGTAATGCAATGGAATGCAATGCATGTCGATGTCACTCCCCATTTTCAACATTCAAAAACCGTCACTTTCAAACGGTTAATATAACCCGTCCTTTGGTGACCCCGCAGCGACACGAGAGAATGATTGACTAGTGTCCTTGACCCTTGGTACCCCCGCTGCGTCATTTTGGGCCCAACTAGCTCCACCACGTTAGGGCAATCTCCCTAGTTCCCTTTGGTACCCCCTCAGCGATCGGGTTTTTATAAAACACTTTAATCAAACTTCTTCCCCAAAATCCCCCTTTTCATATCAAAACAATGTTTCCCTTTTTCATGCCTAATTTTGATGCATCAATGCATCAATGTCATGTCTATGCCTATCATTCTACAACCAACTCAAATTTAATTAACAAAGCATGGTTCATAAGGATTTCCAAAGAATTTACAACATGTGGTCATACAATAAAAATCTAGCATGATAGGCATATGAAAATCAATACTTAAGCATGCCCTTCACATAGATCATTCAACACACATAATTACACAATTGACCAATACACACAACAAATAAGCAATTGACTAGATACTATACAAATTAAGCATACTAACAACCATTTATGAGAAGATAACTCACAAAAGCACAAGATTACATGGATTAAGAACCCCTACTTCTAAATTGAGCAAAACGCTTGAAATGGGTCACAAATTTCGAAATCCAAAGGGAGGCTCAAAGCTGAAATTGTTGCTACTTACGCGTAGAGCTCGTCGTGCTCTCCGTTTTGCCTCAAACGGCACTTAAAAATTCCAAGTATTGAAGATGGAATCAAGATTTGAAGTTTGAAAATCAAAAGGAAAAGAAAAGAATAAATGAAGGAGAAAGTGAGGGATTATGGGGAGAGAGAAAGTGAGAGACCAAAATGGTCTCTAAGCCACTAAGTAAGTGGGTGGTGGGTCCCACCACCAGCATTTCTTTTCCTTTTCATTTATTTGCAATTCTACACCACAATTATATATATATATGCACCACCATAAAAATGCCACTTAATTCTTATAAAATAAAATGTGTGAAATGCAAATGGACCCAACTAAGATCCCGAACACAAAACGTGAAAAGACGAAAATGCCCTTGCGTCAACAAAATTCTTGGAAAATGAAAAATGCTGAAAATCGGAAACATCACATCTACTCATTGATGTAAGCAATTCATCATTTGGTGCATCCTAGGAATTCTGAAAATTTGGACCCATTTGAGGGTTTTCTACAAAATTGAGGTGGAGGTGTTCTAATCCACTCAATCTTTGATTCTTGTGACTTATCTTCTTGTATTTGATGTATAACATGCTAAAATTTGGGGTAGTTCTTTGATTAATTGCTATAGTGTTGTATATAAATGTTGTGTATCCATGTGAGCTTGTATGTAAAAGTGATTTATGAGTTTATGGTTGTTAAATTTTAATTAAAAATCATGCTTAAATGGTTGTATTTTTAATTCCACATGTTTAGTTGCTGAAATTTTGGGTGTTAGTAAACATGTTATATTATAGTGGAATTTCCTTGTTAAGCATGCTATATTGTAAAAATGAATTTTATGAGATTACGGTAATTTGTGAAGCATGAATTATGGATTTTAGAAATTCACTTTGAATAATATGTGTGAAAGGTTTATGGTTGATTTGACGAAATTAAGCATGAAGCATTCATGCATCCATTAGGGAAAAGGGAAGGGAAAAAAAAAATGTTTTAAAATAATCAAAACTTGTTTTGGGAAAAAGTTTTCTAAAAGTGTTTGCAAAAATCGGACGCCTAGGAGGCGCTTAGTGGTCCGTGGTGTTAGTGTAGTCTAAAGGGGAGTATGATTGAGCTAACCAGGCCGGATGCGACACCTTGGATGTGCCTTGTGGTCGTAGATGGTTAGCCGATCCTCTTTTGGTTGAGCTAACCAAGCCGGATGGTTAGCCAACCCTCTCCTCGTGACGCCATAGAGGTGCTATGGGTCGGATTACATTAATGGTTTGGAAGTTGAAACGGAAATGTTTCGAAATGAGGAGCGACATTTGCATGACATTGCATTTCATTAGTATTTTTGGCGTAACTGTGATTTGGATGACATTTGTGTTTATATTTGACGTCGTAGTTATGGATTACACCCCTTGTATAGTATGATCCCGTTCTCTTGATTTCTATTCTATGCGTGGATTCACGGGGTCATAAGAAGTGTGTCTTAGACACTTCCTACTCAGCTTATGTTCACCCTTTTATTATTAACATTTTTCAGGACACGGAAGGGAAGTGGCGGATGACGCTCCTCCATAGGATTCAATGGGTTAGTGGACTGTTTTAACATATTTCGTAGCGATGATCTCATTTTATTAATATTGCTATTGCTATTTTTTTTAAAATCTTGGGATGACACGTATATTATATATTGACGTAAGACATGACGGTAGTATCCTTAGTTAACCCGGGTTCGAATATTGACCCTATTAACTATTCGGACCCTCGAATTCGGGTCGTTACATTACATATATAGAATCTACAAATAATGTCTAGATATTAGAGAATTAAGTTCTTTTTTATCATCATCGTCATTATCTTTGTCTTTGAGTTAATTTTTTTTTTTTTTCTTCATTGACAAAAAACTCACACACACAACTTTGTTTCTTTGAAGACTCAAACATTCGTCATCAACTTTCAACTCGGAAAGATGGAAAAAATATCACTGAGTGAGTTAAAACCGTAGCATATTCTCTTTTATAAATTGTAACAAATTAGTAACAATATTAACTTATTCAGGGGAAAAAGAACAGCAACAATATTAACTTTAAAGCAACTCTAATAACCACTAGACCAGTACCCTACTAGTTTATATCTGGCTGCCAGTTGAAGAAGTCCCACCATGACTGCAAAGTCGGCAACCAAGAGCTTTTACTAGGAAGGGATATACTGTGAATAAACACACATTTTTGGTCAGTACAAAAAAAAAAAATGGTGTGTGTGTGAAAGAGATGATAGAATGGTAAAGGGACAAAGAATAAAAACTCAATTAAATGCACCACAAGAGAGGATGACAAATTAGATGTGGCGTTACAAAATATCTGGTTATAACGAGCAATAAGGATGTCTGCATCTCATTAAATGATGACATGTATATATAACCTATACTATAACTTATAATTTATATTCCTTCCAAAAAAAGATTTTCTTTTTAGTATCAAAGTCACTCTCCTGATTGGCCCATAGCTGAAAATCACACAAATTTCCCACAATCAACATCCACCTCACAATCCACCAAAAATCCCCTTCCAAGGAATCCCAATTATTTTTTATTATTTTTTTTTCCTTCCTCTCACAACCTCTCTTTTTCTTGCCCCTTTTCCATGTACTTATCAAACTTGAACTAGACCACACATTATGAAATCCAATCTCAAACAGGACACGTAGACTTGTCACTTACCATACAAAAACACCGCAACAACTCTTTGTTCTTCACGTCCTTTACTCAACCCCACACGCATTTTAATTTATTCCCACACATGAAGCCTTCCTTCATCATGTATTCTACCTAGCTTCAACACACACACATAGAATAGGAGGAGGAGGAGGAGGAGGAAGAGGAGAGAGAGAGGGAGAGTAACCATTTTATCATCCATGAAAGAAGAACCCATCCACCAGATGGTGGTATCAGTTCCATCAGAGCTAAAGATAGCCCATGGTGATCAATCTGCAAAGACCCATCATCAGCTTGTGAACAATCTTAGGGTGTCCAATGATGAATTCTCAAAAACCCGACGGTTGGACGACGACAACAACAAGAAGAAGGAAGCTGCAATTCATGGGCCTTCTTCTACTACAAGTGGTGGTGGTGAGGACGTCACAGGACGTGAGAGGTTGAAGAGACACCGGATCGAGATGGCCGGGCGGACCTGGATACCAGATATATGGGGTCAGGAGGAGCTGCTCAAGGATTGGATTGACTGCACCAAGTTTGATGATGCTTCACTGGTGACCAATAATGTCATAATGTCAGCTCGAGCAGCTTTGGTTCAAGAGGGAAGAAGAGCTAATTCCAGCAGATTTAGGATAGAGAACAGGTGTTAATCAAATTTTGATTTTCAATATTGTTTATCTTCCTTTTTCATTTTATTTAAGCTTATCTTGTTGTTGATACTTGATAAATTAACATTTTTATAAGAGTCATTCCTAGATTAATCAGATCCATGAATTGCACTAATATTTCTACCTAATTTATTTTGTTAATCTTAGCTGCACCAAAACCCATATATTTATAGTGCGTGTGTTAGTGTTTGGGAAGGGCTAAAAGAATAAACTAAAAAAGAATGTGATATGTTTCCTTCTTTGTAAAGAATATACGGACGTGGTACAGCCACCGTATCCTCATATTTTTCTTCGTAACATAAGATATTGAAGAAACTTGCGGAATATCATCAAGAACTGAGTACCACCGAGTTGACTCAATAATGCAAAGCCTTCTTCCACATATTGAAAGGATTTACCGATGAGGGCTCATATTTATAAAGTTCATATTGGAACCAGGTTCATGTTGTATCAACAAGATTCAGATTGTGTGTTGTGTGTGAGTGAGTGAGAGAGGGAACATATATTACTCGATCAAATAAATCTCATAAAATAAAACGTATTGCAGAATTGAACAGCTCTGTTCATGATTATTCTCGAAGTATAATTTAAATATTTCTATTTGATCGTATGAATTAGAACCACTCTAAAAATATATCCAATCTGTTATTGATTTCTCGGAGCTGCAAATTACATGGATAATATTTCTATAACAATATTTTCAAATATTACACAAGCATTCCTGCTGATTTTAGAAGTAAAATATAAAAAACTGAGATATAATTATCGGATGCGTCAAGTTAAGGATGCCAACTCCCATATCTTGATTGTCCCGTCATCACTCGCGGAAGCAAGTAGCCTGTTTTCCTGCTAGGTATTCAATAGAAAAGAGAATAAAATGTAAAGATATACATAGTAGTTCAATATGAAACTGAAATTATGTATCAGGAAAAAAATATATATATATATATATATTTCTATATGAAACTGAAAAGCTAAATGAAATAAATCAACAGACATCAAGGACTGGTGAATGCAAGTGCTAGGCTGTGATGTCCTAAGCCCCTCCCCTTCCCATTACAACTCTTAACCACATTCCTAAGAAGTTATGGAACCGATCTGTGGGTGAAGACGAGCAGGGGAATTCACACCTGCTGAAAATGGAGCCCTCGTTCTTGACCAGGGTGGTTCTGTTCCCATTTAGCCAAACAGACTGACATGGCATCTTCTAACATGACATATGGTTTCATGTTCTGTATTTTTATAACAAATTTATACAACCTCCAAGCTTCAGTGTCACATCTATGTACCATAAATTTAGAAACCTCAGCTTGGAAGTTCCTAATACGCAAAATATTCAAGGAAAAGGGAATATCAGGACACTCCGCTGGGAGGTGTGGAGCACAAGCATCTTTGTTCAGCCATAATTGCATTACTGTGTGTGCATATAGTTGACAAAAGTAGAAGAGCACCACCTGCAAGAGCTCACAGACAAAAGTAGCTCTTGCTGGGTAAATTTGTTCTATCAACCGGTTCAGGGTTAATAGTTATGTAAAAATATATAATAGGTCCAAAAATTCCAATGTCAGCGGGTTGATGGTATACGGGAAATATTAAAGGTTAAGCCAAGGACATCTCAGATGGAAGACGATAGCTAGGAGGACATATTAGCCCATATCCCATCAACCACCAGATCTCTCAAACAGAAATATTTTACGGGTATGCTCGGTTGCATGGAATTGGAATTGAAATTGGTAGAATTTGAAAAAAAAAAACAACTAAGAAAATTGAACCAAAATTTTTTCAAATTCCAATTCCATGCAGCTGAACACACCTTACATGAAATTGGGCATAAAGCTGTAGAATCTCATTAGTTCATGAAAACAAATTTTACCGCAGGCAGAGCTCCATTGCACTGAATTAACATCCATGTCATGAGCCTTATCCTTCTTCAGCAGCATTTTGTACATAGGTCCACCAACCTGTAACAAAAGCACACATCAGAGTTAATTTATCACTTTCTAGCAGCAAAAGAGAGGCCAAGATAAATTGGGCATACAGAACTTCCAAGGATCCCTAAGGAGAGACTCCACACAACATCTTTTGCAACTAGTTATTAACTAAAGAACCCTTTACTGCTTTACACACATAACCAGACAAACCACCAAGTTCTCCGATGTTTCAAGCTGATCTCTCGTGTTGTCATCTTTGATTCAAAAACATCATCCAAATTCCAATATTCAGGTTTTATGGTATAGGGTCTCTACCTTGACATTTTCAAAAAAGAAAAAAAGCCAAACCACACCAAAACTTGGAATTCAAATTTTAATTTGATCCCTCATCAACCATACAAGATTTAAAAATTATCTCTGCTATTTCCACAATTTCCAAACAAATTTATGGTGCAGAGTAATGTATTTCTCTGATAGATTTGAGTCGAATAACAAGACTTGCAATAATTGAGTTACCATTTTACAAATGTCCAAACCAACTTCAAACTCATGGTAGTGAAATCATAAGTTATGATTTCCTTCCTGTCCTTGTTCGAATCTTGAGCATATCAATTTTCCAAATGATGAACATGAAATCATGAATATCTTGATTCCATTAAGAGACGATACCCATAAGAATCATACAAGGAGATATATGTGACCAGGGAGATCAATAAAATAATATGTTAGAAGAATTTTTTTTTGAATCATTGAATGCGCAAAGCAATTCAAAGAACTGCTAAGATGGAATGTTGATGACATGATTATATAACATTCTAAAAGGATTTTTTAAGCCCTCTACAGTGGTTTGAAGAAAAGTTGAATGATAATTACAATTTATTTGATCATTTGATGATTGTTTCTTCAACTGCACCAACGACGATATATGGATATGATTAAAAGAAAAAAGAGCAAGTTATGAAATATGTAATTCTACAATTCAATTTCAACCCATAATAATTATTATTATTATGATTATTATCTCACCCACCACTGGGCCCTTGGCATAGGTAGTATGACCTCTACTCTCCTTTGGAGAATTGAGGTTTCAAGCCCCAAGTGAGACAAAATGGGTGTGTGTTGCTTACTAGTAAAAAATAAACAAACAAATAAATGGATCTCACAGCAAGAGAACTCGTTATACAATAAGAAATCACTGAAATTAAGAGTGAGAGGCAGGTATATTGAATTACCAAACCGTCATTGCTATCAACAAATAAGCGTATAGCATCATCAGCTGCTCCACTGGCAATCACTCCTTCCCTTTCAAATTAGCATATCAAACATAAAAAAATTAAGATGGGAGCAAAAAACAAGAAATTGATAAATAAATTTTTTTTTTTTTCCTAGTTGGTACTCATACACACATGCCTCCACTGAGGTTCAAACCCCTGATCTCTCTTTGAGAAGTAGGAGCTTGATACCGCTAGGCCACTTGCCTGTTGGTACTTGATAAATAATTTATAGATGTTGCACTGGAGACTAACAATTATATGTGTTTGAGTAATTCAACCAGACTCTAAAACCAAATGGTTTAAATATTCCAAGCCATGAGATCATCTCTCTATGGAGAAAACTCCATATTGAACTTTTTAAAGCATCTAAACTCGAAACATCAAATATCGGTAGTCTAAAAGATGGTGATTTCTTAACTACATTCTCCAGAATTATATTATCCTTCAAAGCATAGAAACAATTGTCTGAGGCCGTAAATATTGACTAACAACCAAATCTTGAAACTGTATGAACATGGTATCAACCCCTGTTTAAAGGTATAAGGCACTAAAATGTAAAGTTTTATTAATCCAAAATTTCAATATATGATGCCAAAGTGAAAAACAAAGAGGTCGAGAAGAACTATATATAGTCATACCCATACATCATACCCAAAAAAGTATGACAGCTTATTTATCACTGATATTGTTGACTTCTCCATCATTTGTGTGCATGTGCGCACGCGTGTGAGAAAGAGAGTGAGAGTGAGAGTGAGAGTGAGCGTGAGGGTGAGAAGTTTGAATCTTAGAAATCGAATAATCATGAAATCACAAATAGTCAGCATTTATATGAACATTTGCCACAATTATATGAATTATCACTAATCGGTACCTTGACCAGTGGACCGAAAAAATGGTTCGATCGTGATAGCCAGAGAGAGTGCAAAGATGTTTCCTGACAAAACCCACCAAAAATAAGAATATGTATAATAATAATAACAATAACAGCAGCAACAACAACAGTATGAATATCTATAAACTGCAGGACTTGGGGGAAAAAAAAGCCCAAGAAAAGTTACCATATTATAAAATAAATAATGGGCAGACTGAAAGTTTAAGTCCCTTAGTAAATTTGCAAAAAATAAATGAAACTGGAAAGTTGATGCTTCTTCAAATCAGTAAATAACATTTTGTAGTTTCAGTTGAGTTACTTCAGCTCAATCACAGTAAACCAATCAAAACATAAGGCATTTATAATTTATTTATAAACAATACTGGACATGGACCTTTTAAAACATGCATGGTTTCAAATTGCAGTCAAGGTCACAGTCGCATAGGAAGCTGAGGCAATCGACCTTAAGTAACTAGACAGAGTTACTGGTTTCATGAATTGACATATGAATGCTTTAACCTCATAACCCCAAACCACCAACACCCCCCCCCCCCCCCCCCCCCCCCCCCAAATCCCCACAAACACAAGATAGTAATTTCAACAATTTTGCATGACTACTGCTCAACCTATAAACATGATATACTATGAGTGACGAATCTTATGTTAGTTTCCTCATTGTTGGCAAGATATCCTATGTTTCTTCTATCACATCTCCCTAATTTATAACCATAAACGTAATTAAAAAATTATCATCATTTTATAACAAAATATGGTCATAAAAACTAGTCCTAAAGTGGCAATGTCAATAATTACAAAACGTTTCAATAATGCTACTTCCATAGTTCGTCACATAATTCATATTTGTTGATTCTTTAACGATTAAATACCATTGGAACAAACAAATCCAATCGTGCTCTAGCAGTACTATTTTTTTTTTTTTAATAAGTAACTACAAACTGAACACAGTATTAGTTAAAAGTCGAAATTAAACCAAAGAGACTAACCAAACATTACAGTAAGTAAATCCAGGTCAAAAATGAAGAATCCAATTAAATTCTGGGAAAAGGTTGAAAGACAATTGATCTATTTGGTTCAGTTTTCTGAAAACAATTAACAAGAACTCAGAAAATTGACAGGCCTTTTTTAACCGAGTTTTTCAGTACACTTTTCTCATTTTCAATTTTTTAAAAACAGAAAACTACAATCAGAAAACTGAACCAAACTAAATCTTTGGTATTTTGTTGTTAAATTTGTTAGAACTGATTCCCTGATCATAGCATGAAAAGGGCTTTTCTTATTATCGAAAATCTACAAACTGAACACAGTATTAGTCAAAAGATAAATTAAACCAAAGAGACTAACCAAACATTACAGCAACTAAATCCGGGTCAAAAATGAAGAATCTAATTAAGCAAGAAATTCTGGGCAACGGTTGAAAGAAAATTGATCTTTTTGGTTCAGTTTTCTGAAAACAATTCTCAAGAACTGAAGAACTCAAAAACTGACAGGCCTTTTTTAACTGAGTTTTCAGACAATTGTTATCAAAGGCCCAAGGCACTAGAGGTCCTTTGGAGCCTAGGCGCAAGGCGAGGCGCACGCCTAAGTGAAGCGAGGCACACAAGTAAAAAATTAATTACTATTAAAAGCATATTCATTTTCCATATTAAAGGCGCATATATTGTCAAAGGCGCACCTGGGCACACAACAAGCACAATTGTTGTGCCTGTAGGAGCTTGGAGCCTAGGCACGCGCCTTTAACAACACTGTTTCAGACAACTGCAACCAAATGAGCTTCAGTACAGTTTTCTGATTTTCAATTTTCTAAAAACAGAAAACTATTCTCAGAAAACGGAACAAAACTAATCTTTGGTATTTTATTGTTAAATTTGTTAGAACTAATTCCATGATCATAGAATGAAAAAGGAGTTTCCTAATTATCGAAAAACTTGATTTACTTGATTCAAGGCTATCAATTGCATGCCTATAAGACCCCATGTAAGACTGCACGTAATGCTCAGGATAGCAAAAAGCCGTTAATTATTAATCTTGAGAAGAGGTCAACCATAAGAGCTACAGCTTCTGCGGGACATTCTGAACCCACCCCGCAACACAATTGCCTTTGAGTTGAAAAACCAAAACTTCCCAAGGTTCAGTTAAATGCAACCGAGGTCTTGGGCAACCAGACCTGGCCAAAAAAAAAAAATTTATATTCCAACGAATCACATGTAAAAATCACCTATATTATGATCGGCACACATAACTTAAACTGCCATAAAATGTATTGATAATAATAAATATAACTTAGACATGACTCTAGCCTTTCACTCTATATCATCTATATTTTTTTTTAATTATGTAACTCATCTTTGTATAATCTTAGGAAACTTCATTATGTCGCTCTTCTTTGGGAAAATAATGAGCATATTCCAAACACATATTAATAAAACTAAAAAATTCTTATTATTTGAACTCATTAATTCATTCACATAACCATAGAAAAACATTGGGCATTCATAGTCAGTCAATTCACTGGTAGGTGCTAGAAATGCCTCTGTTCACTTGAATCAAATATGTAACAAAAGTTGAAATGCACATCATGAAGAAATGATAAGACAAACAAGTTTTTCTTTTGATTCCCATATTCAAGTTCAGAATCTCTTGTTTTAAAAAGCCAAAGGAAAACACCTCACCAAAAAGTATCTCAAACAATGTGCAAATGAAAAATCAAAAACTCACCAAGGTGCATAGCCATCATCAGATTGCACTCCTATGATGTCAGTGCCCCAGATTTTTATGGTAAGATCATCGCTGCAAAATCAATCTATGATTATTTTACTGCTACTCGTCAGGACTGTTCAATAGCATTTAAAATATATATACTTATCAAATCCATTTCTTTTCCAATCTGAGAGCAGTACGATTGAAAAGAGTTTAATGTACCTGCAGGTAACCATTTTCTCTCCCTGGGTATTGAAAGATAGTGCCCAAACTGTTGAAGAGTGTCCACTGAAAACACAATCAGTCCAAATTTAGCCGTATGAAACCACTTAGAGCAACAAGTCATGTTAATGTAGAAAGCACTGAAACTATATAGTTCTCAAACTGTCCGTGAGTGTTACTGTACGAAAGCACTGAATCTATAGCAACAAGTCATGTTTAACTGAAGTAGGCAACGAAAGTCTAAAGTTCTAAAAATTGTTTGTTTTTTCAGAGTGGCCATAGTCTATTGTCAAATTTGGAACTGCTCATTAGAAGTTTGTCAAAGTTGTTGAGATTCCAGTTAGTTGACGCCAAGTCACCAAGAAACACAGCAATAATCACAGAAGTCAGAACCGTGTTCCTCTCCAGCAATATAATGCATATTAATGTGCTGCTTCTCTTTTTTACATTCACGTGTGTCTGTGTTGGTCCTTGTTGCTTCCTTTTCTTTTTTCTTTTCTTTTCTTTTTTTTTTTTTTTTTTTTGGGGGGGGGGGGGGGGGGGGGGAATATTCACCACGTGCCTCATTTTTAAATACCCAAACTGCCACTCTGGTCCTTTCAATAAGGTACACAAATATCGAGTGAGCCTTAAATTTATGCATAAATCTAATTTAACATGGAAAAAAAATTGCAAAAGAAACAACCAAAAAAAATGGCATTCCTCCGCAAAGAAGACCTTCTCTGGCAGAAGCTACAGCAAACATAGCCTTCTTGCAGCTTTAAGACCATACAGTTATTACACTGTTGTACTTAGTTGAGTTTATGTTCACAAGCTTGAAAATTAATGTTTTCAATGTAAAAGAAAGGTCACTCCTAAGTAGTCAAGACAAATTTGTAAAAAAAGACAGACAAACCCAGTGCACAAGGCTCCCGCCAGTGCAGGGTCTGGGGAGGATTAGTCAAGGCAAATTTGTCGAGAACTTTTTTTAGGAAACGACACCACACAGGCTAATTTAATTTTTGAGAGAGAGAGAAAGAGAAAGAAAAAGGGAGTTCAGGTAGTACTTGTTAGATTCCCCTAAAGTTTGAACACAATGCCAATCATCACTGTCACCATCCTCTGCCCAAACCTGCAAAAATTTATATGAACGTTATTGATTCATAATGAAAATTCTACCAACTAAACACATTTGTAAGCTTTTACCAAGGCAATATAAAATGGGAAGGACAGTTGACTATCTCCTTTACCTTAATAGTATTATCATAGCTACACGAAAACAGAACATCCATTGATGGATGCCATTGGACCATTTTAACATCTTGCGTATGTCCTTGCAACACTGAAACGCATTCAAACTCATTCCCAGGCTGTACTTCCCAAATCCAGACAGATTTATCACGGCCACAAGTTGCAAGCAGCGACCCAGATGCATTCCAAGACACACTTTTTACTTCATTTTCATGACCCTATATAATGTACCAATGTTCCAAGAATAAATATAAATAAGAACACTATGAACCATATGGAGGTTAAACTGCCACTTGTGCTAACATTTTCAGCCGAATTATAAAATTCTCATAATTTTACTACAATTTTAAAATGCAACAGCACTTATTAGATAAAATGTCGTGTAACAAGTAACGACTAACTGAAGAGGGTGAAATGGCAGTCACTTGTCTCACTTCAAAAGGTTGAACTGAAACAAAGACAAAATGCTAATACAGTGTAGGGATGGTTTTAAAAACTAAATAATACCTCCAAAGTGGAGACACATTCAAAATCATCTCCAATTTGCTCCCAAATTGCAGTAGTGGCATCGAAACTCGCAGTTGCCAATAATTTACCTGACGGCGACCAGGAACACGATCTAACAGTCCGGGTGTGTGTTTCTTCTAAAACTGCCTGCACAATCACAGTTCAAAAATCATAAACTCCGAACACAAAATAATCTTACTTCCAACAAAAATAGTAAACAAATTATCAATAAGATGCTACAACAAGAAGGTTCCAAGGAACACTAACTCCATTTGGTTGCTGAAAATTAAAGAAATCAACGAGAAATCGATTGAAGCTCAACCATCCATGTGGTTACATAGTTGATTGAGGAAGAGACAATAAAACAAAATTATAATTTCTGTGAACTCCTTTCTGAATTTTTATTTTTATTATTGATAAGTTAAGAAAACAAATAAAAATTGAATACAAGTTTCTAAAAATGCAAAAAGAACTACAAAATATATAACTTCCAGAAAAGTGGCATGCTTAACATTTCCCAGCTCTAGATGCAATTTAGAGTTTTTTTTTTTTCACATCTCCCCTTAAAAGACCAAAAGTAAACTAATATTTTTACTACCAATAATTTAAAAGACAAAAACAATTAAAATCTCAAATGCAAATTTCTGAAAATGCGAAAAGAATTACTTTAAATAGCTTCCCAAAATATGGCCTATTGTTAGGAACTTTTTCTAAAACATCTTCTAGAAATGCCCCGCTAGATGCCCTTTAGAGTCATTTTTGTTTGCTATCTTTTTAAAATAATTAAAATGGCTTATAAATGTGACTATAATCGAGCCTTATCTTTCTATTGCTTTGTGACCCAAGGAAAATGAAATAAAGCAAACTCAACTACAAGATTGGTTGTATTAAGCTCCGTTGAACAAAGGTTTGAAAAGTTCATATTTTGAACATCTATTCTTCTCTTTCCAGTAACCGAAGAGAGTACACCTTTTCAGCTCTTCGAGAACTGGAAGTTGCACTCTACTAAGCCAATACAGTTACTTGGCTTGTAAGAATAGTTTCATCACTTCTAATACACCAAAACATCAGAAGGCTGAAGAATCAAAATCCATTTCTTCTTTCGTTAATGTTTCCTCAGCAACCAAGTGGTAGGTAAACTGAAATGAATAAATCTTGCATATGAGAGAAAGTGATGCAATTAAAGAATATTGGCTTCATTTGGGAAGCCTGGAGAATGCAAAGTAATAACACGCAAATAAATAAATAAAATAAAATAAAATAATGAAAAAATTGTACATCACTTCTTCTTTGTTTTGGTCCTGAAAAGTAAGACTCCCCAACCAATTGAGTCTAAGACAGCCATTCAGGCAAGTCCATGAAAGACTCTCTTTCTCCCACTCCTTCTATTGTTTTGGGAACAAAAACAGCATAAAAAATAAGATACAAATTATAATTTTTCCTTGTGACAATATGTAAAAATCAACCAAGACGCACCCAAAAACAAAAAAAAAAAAACCTTTGAACCTCAAATTTTTCAGTTTTTTTAAAGCCTGATAGGCAAATATTGGTATTCGTTGAATTGATGCATTATATTTCCGATAAAACCAGCAAACATAATACAAAAATACTCAAATTATTGACTTCATATTCTTTCTTTTCTCAGGAATTAGAAAGAGACAGATCCGAACCTTGCATTCAAAAGAGCGAGTGACTGCACTCTGCTGCCAAATTCGAACAGTCTTGTCGCCGCTACAAGAAGCAAGCATCGACGGTACGCCGCCGATGCCGGTGGCAGGGTTCCAAGCGAGACTCCAAACTCTATCGGTGTGGCCTTCGAGCCTCTGAATCTCCTTCAACTCGAAGCTCTCTTCAAAGAAACTCATAGTTACGAAATCGAAGAGACGATGTAAAAATAGATATAGCACACAAAATCAATCTTTTGAGATTAGGGTTTTGGTAGTAGACTGTAAGCCAAGTTCGACGAGTAGAAAACCAAGTAAATCCACACGCGCCGCCCTACGTGGGTCAATACGGCGGAAGAAAGGAGTGTGGTAAACTCGTGCCCGGTACCGGAAAGAGAGTCTTGCCCTCTTTTTTAATTACCAATACAACACAACACAACAGGGCAGGGAATGAAAGTCCAATAACCCCCTATAATTTTGATGGTGTCAAATCTGGCTCAAGTTAAACTTTTTTGTTTTGTTTTTTTCCCCTTCGAAAGATGAAGCAACTGAATATATAATAAAAAGAATACATGGGGTCCTTAGGCCAGAACAAGTCCAATAGGGCGAACAAAGCCTATTAAGGCCAGAACAAAGACATAACATAAAGGCCCATCGGCCCAACAATCTAATAACCATAATTAACGGACTAATTGTATCCCTTAATTGCAGTTCACAAAGGACAAATCCGGTACCTTCCCTAACTAGTAGGAGATGAGAACGAACAGAGGGATGGCTTCATCAATCCAGTGGCCGGGGCGGTGGTTTGCAGCAAGACGGAAGGAGATTCCAATCATGAAGAATGCGTCTTGAGGAAGAGCAGTCCTTCAGGAACCCTAATTGTAAACTTGAAGAAATACTGCAACTGATCCGAGTCAAAGTTGCTCGCTGAGATGACTTCCTCCCTATGAAGATGTGATAATTTCCTTCCTCACATACGTGATCCACCACATAATATAGGCAAATTTTTCGATACAAGTTGAGAGGCGAGTTGAAGCTGTAATGAATACTGACCCAAACAACTAAAGAATCCCAATTTTGATTTGGGGCATAGAGATTGCACTTATCACGAATGAATCACCAAATTGAGGAGATAAAGGTGCATTGAAATTGTTAGAATTTTTTAACGAAAGTTGTTTCATGAGTCATCAACAAATGCCTTTGATTGAAGAGGTGTGATTACTAGTTAATCGTAGGAGAAAAATATGCAACTCAAAACTAACAGACATAACCTATTCAATGAATCATTACAACATATTACAGTGGGTCTAGTGATGAATACACATATAAAGAGATACATATAAATAGTTATATCCAATGATGAAGAGGCACACCTAATTCAAAAAGGCACTTATATTTCTATAAATACCTCATTAGGCTGCCATTTATAATTTGTTCAATTCATTTTCTTCTCTTTCCCTCTCTAAACTTAAACCCAACCCGTTCAAATCATAGGTCAAGTGATCTGAGCCACTTAGATCCTAATCCAATTTCATTGAGCCATATTAAGATTGGTCCGAATCATTTGGTTCAAATTGCACCAAATTCAGTATTTATATAGTGTAGATGTATATTTGAGTCAGAGAGAGTGTTACACGAAAGAAGTTTATCATATCCACGAGTTTGTAGTGCTGCTATTGATGGATGTAAACCGTTATAGTCACAAATGAAAATAATAATAATAATAACCTCTCTATCTAGAAAGAAGATGAGATGGGAGAGGTTAGAACCGAGTGTGGGCAAAAAGTATGCGTGAGTGGAAATGTGAGTATTTATTTTGCCAATGAAAATAAAATAAAAATAAAAAATTTTGCGAAGGACAAACGCTAGTTTAATTAACTCCCAACAGAACAAGTACGGACTTTAAGAAATCAACATGTCCCGTGTATGAGACTGATAATTGATTCTCATTAATTAAATGGGGTAATATGGGTTTAGACAAACTGGTGTCATACTTGTCCATTGCCATCCATACCTGTTGGTCACTAAATTATGACTTTTCGACTTGCATTGTGCTATGTTTGGAAGCATCGATTCAGCACTCTGAATTTTAAACTGAATTTTCTCCAATATCAAATTCAAGAAGTCGATTCAATACTCTCAAACACAATAATAAATTGTTAAGGAATCGTTCGATGTTGCAATTATGAATGTAATTTGCATGGATTGAATTAGTAGAAGGGTCAACTCTAGCTCAATTCACAATCCAAAATTATATATATATTTTTAAGAAAAATTACACTTAGGTAGAGTTAGAAGTATTAAATAAAAAAAGTGGTCAATTTTAAAAGTTTATTTTTCACTTTTCACTTTATTTGAATTAAACAAAATAATTATATATGCATCGAGAAACTTCAAAATGTCCTCCAAATTCTCTTTTTAAAATATCAAATTATCATTCTGAAATCAAATAATTCATTCACCAAATTAAACAATGAAAGGTTGTTCTCCAACGTCCTTTCAATGTCACATGGTAATTCCAATTCAATAAACATAAAAAATAGTAATAATAATAAATAAATAAAATAAAATAAAATTGTGGTGTAGGCTTTTGTGGATTTATAAACAAACAATGATTACACATAATCAAATACTCCATCATTCATTAATGGATGGAAGTCATAGTAACTGAGTGGTGGCTCGTAATTTGGGCCAAGAACATTATTGCTAGAGACTTTCGATTTTCATTGTGCAACTGAGATGACTAAAATTCAGCATGATAGTAACCCTTTCAACAGGTAACTCCACGGATAATCTTTAACGAGTAGCCCAATTCAGCTCGTCATGAGATATCCTCGATGATCCGAAAATTAAATGTTTGTAGTGAAAACTTTAGAAGGTAACTGCAGTTATTAAGTTAATAAGAACAGATTTTGTATCAAAAAATGTGTAAATTGTGTAACACTGATCATTAAACTAAATAATTGAATATAATTATAAACTAAATAATCGGATATATAATCATAAGTGTTAGGATATAGAAGAAGAAAGATATAGTACAGTTCAGTGAATTCACCCGAAATATAGATTGAGAAAAGTTTTTTAAAAAAGGACAAAAAAAAGAAAAAATAAAGATAAACACAGTTCATCCCATCCCAACATCCTTGTGTATCATACTCCACTATGTTTTTCAAAAAAAATTGAGCAAATAATTTATTTGATTTTAAAAAAAAAAATTGATATTTAAAAAAAAAAGTTTGAAGGGCATTTTGGACCTGAACAATGATTCTCAATAAATATATAATTATTTTACTTAATTCAACCAAAGTAAAAAAAAAAAAAAATTTAAAATAAACCACTTTATTATTTAGGTATCTAAGGCTACTTAAATATAGTTTTTTATTTTTATTTTTTTTCTTAACTCAAATAGAATCTGACATATTTTTAGTCCTAAACTTTCATAGTTGGTCCAGACCATTCATAGTTTTGAAGTCATAAAGAGACGGGTTAAAGGGACATCCTATGCCGCATTTTGTAAATCGCTAATGCTACGGACTATATGGTGAAAAAGATTTTGGTCAACAAAAGATTGAGCAATACTTCGTATTGTAACATTATTTTATACACGAATGCAATGTTATAAAATTGATAAAAATTCACAATAAAACAACACAAGAAGCATGGTCTAGAAATGAAAATTTTGTGTAAGTGATATATATATATATACACACACACATAATCAACAGTCCATCAATAAATTTAAATTGGGATTAAGCTCCATCAAATCAAAATTTAAAATAGAGCCTTTCATTTTTCTGACGAAGTAATATAGTGGTACCTAAATTGGAGTTATGCAAATCTGGCCTCTTTTAACCATATGTCAACGGTACCAAAATCAAATTTATTTGATTATAATCATATTAAATATGCTAAATAAGTTTTAAAATAAAATTAGTATTTAATTATATCCAAATTAATCCGATCCATAATTTGATAACCAATAGCAAGTAAGACCATCTCCAATGCAAAATATTATTTTTGCATGCCAAAGTTATATTTGGGGAGGTGTTAGACCATCTCCAATGCAAATTGTCATTTTTGCATGCCAAATCTATATTTTGAAAGGAGTTACAGTGTCAAAATGCCATATTATAGCAATTCCGCTCCAATGGTGCATTTCATCCAAAATGCTATTTTTTGACACAACAAGCATTATTTTTCAACTACCATTTCTAACTACAATTTTCAACAACCATTTTTTTTTTTTTTTTTTTTTGAGTGTTTGTATTTTATTTATCTTATTTGCCTTATTAAAAATAAATACACACAAGCACAACAGATATATATATACACACAACAAACATATACATATATATACACACAACACTGACATATATATATATATACAAGCACAACTGACATATATATATATATATATATATATATATATATATATATATATATATATATACAAGCACAACACCAAATTGGCAGCCCAACACCAAATTGGCAGCCCATGCGAGAGAGAAGAGAAAAGGAAAAGAGCAATAGCAGATTTGATAATAGCTATATGTTGTGTTATATTGGGCACAACATTTGGCAAAATTATAGGGTAAAGTGCATTAAACCCCCTTGAACTATTGGTCATTAGCAAGAAACCCCCCTGAACTACAAAAAACCCTCCTAAACTATGATTTTGTTGCAATTTACCCCCTTGAACTATTGGTCATTTGCAAGAAACCCCCCTAAACTACAAAAAAAACCCCTCTAAACTATGACTTTGTTGCAATTTACCCCCCTGAACTATGATTTTGTTGCAATTTACCCCCATGACATCAGCTTCCGGCACCGAAAATTTTGAAAGACCAGTTTACCCTTATAACACACTGTGTCGTTTTAACTTATACACTTCTTACATTTTTTTTCTGCCAAAAGATGTTTTTCACCCAACACAACCCAAAACAAAGAGCTAAAGAGAGAGAGAAAGGAAAAGACCAAAGAAATCCGAGGTCGGCGGAATGGCTCGGTCTCTAATGATGGCGGCTTATGCGCGGAGGACTCGGTTGTGATGAGAGCTCGGTTGACTCGGCCGTGAACTGTGGAGGCGGCGGCGAGCTCAAGGGGGCTCGGCGGTGAACTGTGGATGGCTGTGTGCTCGAAACATGGATGGCGGTGTGCTCGATTATGGAGATGGCGGAATGGGCCAGCGAGCCTCGCTTGGAATGGACGATGGAATGGACCGGCGAGCAAGGTGAGCAGAATGGCAGGCAAAGCGATGATAGTGATGGGCTGACGCAACGGTGCAGAGAAGTGCGATATATATGGCCGACGGATCTGGCGGGTAGTGCAACGGCTATGATGGAGCTATGATAGGAGACCCACCGATCCCAGCAACAAATTCCTTGGCTTCATCGTCCCTTTCAGTCAATCAATTCGCGCGGATGGGATAAACTGCAAAAAAATATATAGTTCAGGAAGGTTTCTTGCCCATACCCCAATAATTCAGGGGGGTTTTTTGCAACTTTTATAGTTC